CAAAATAAATCCCAACGGCCAAAATCTTCAATTTTGGGTCGAACTCAATTTTTTCAATAGCAGCGTTTTAGGCCAAAATCGACCTACAATTTTATATAGATTGAATAAATTGAAACAAAGATTTCCTAAAGGTTCCTATTATCTATCAAACGGCTAAAATTTCATGAAAAAATCATTCGACATTGAAGATTTATCTATTATCTATCAAACACCCAAAATTTCGTAAAAAAATCATTCCATATTTTGAAAAATGACAGAAATTTCAAAACCTGTAAAAAACCATCATTTTAATCAACTGAAACTCTTATTTATTTATGGATATTTGATTCTATAATCGTTGTGTTTATAATGATTTACATCAATAATAAAAAATGCTAAAATATAGCGGAAAAAAGAATAATAAAAAGACAAAAAAAGTAAGACTCACAGGATTTGTGCCGTAAATAACGGTGCCTGTGTGAAATAAAAGTTCCCTACGATATTTCAGGCCAGATCGTGCACGAACTAGCCGGTTTTATCGGGGACCGGAAGGATCACTGTTTTGGTTAGAACCGGCCGTTTTTTCAAACATCAGTTGTATGCCTCTCCTTGTTGAATAGACCAACTATTCATCAAGATCACAGCTGGTTCCATGATTCCATCACTCATTTATGCACTCGAAAACTAGGGATGGGTCCATAACGGAGAAGTCCCATGGCCATTATTTGAGGCCATCTAATCCTCCCAACAAATCTCGATCCATGTTGTCTTCATAGATTCTAATATTGGAATAGAGAAGCAAGTATACCTGAAACGCTTGGATAAAATGGAAGTTCTTGCAAGAGTGAGAGAGTGCAATCAATGACTACATTAGAGAGAGAACTGACATATCAGTCTAGGATGTGGTATCAATTTTCCTAAAAAAATGACCAGGGGAACTTGGGTTTCTTCCATGAAAAAGCATGATGGCATTGGGTCTCCAAAAATATCGGGAAAATCAGGTATAGTGAAGTTGGGTCCCAAAAAATCTAGGGACTGTTTGGGTACATGGACTTTAAGGCATGAATTTCTAATAACTTGAATATAGCTAAAATCTATGGTTTGGATGGCTTAAAATAAAAAAAATCAAAATCATAGAATAAGGCCTACTTTTCCATGATTTCATTTTCATCCCAAAACCTATTTTCTTGAATTTCCAAGGCCTATAGATTTCACTCGTTGGCCCCCCTCAAACCGAAACATAGGAAACATTTGATAGGTATGAAAATTTTAGAAAGAGAGAGTACCTAATTTTTTTAAACAAAGAAACTATTTCAAAATTTTTAAATAGAGAAACTATCTTAAATTGTAACTTTTAGATAGAGAAAGTATGTTAAAATTTTAGATAGAGAAAGTATGTTAAAATTTTAGAGAGAAAAAGTATGGTAAAATTTTAGAGAGAGAAAGTACCAAATTTTTTTAAAGAGAAACTATCTCAAAATTTTAGAGAAAGAAACTATCTCAAGTTTTAAGTTTTAAAAATAAACTATCATATTTTAGAGAAAGAAACTATCTCAAATTTTTAGAGAGAGAAGCTATTTCAAAATTTTTAGAAAGAGAAACAATATCACATTTTAATTTTAGAGAGAGAAACCACATCAAATTTTGGAAAGAGTATATAAAAAGTTCTAGTGATAGAGACTAAAAAAAATAACAAAATGGCAAGGCTGTGGCCGGTTGTGTGTGACGATTGAGTTGGCCAGTGTAGGGGGGGTCCCGACGTATTTGAGGGATTTAGATCGCCGTTGACGATTATCAATCTAAATCAGGCGATTCTGATATGGATCGTCGAATTTTCAAACCTTCACTTCACCCATTAATCTCTTCTGACCAATTACGCCGTGTCTCTATGGTGTGTTTGATAAGAGGGAGTTGCTTCCTGGAAGTTGGAACTTCCGTAATTACTCAGCCGCTCAGCACCCCTCTCTTCGCAATTAGCCGCTCAGCAAAACAGCAGCTTCACTGCGAAAGTTTTCTCTCGCTCTCTCTTCCCAGTAAAGGCAGCCTCTCGCTCAGTACTATTCGCGGCCTTGCAACCTCAACAAGTACCTCCAATTAGTGAGTTCTTTGTTGATTTTGCATTTTTCTTCTTCTTTTTTCTTGCTAATTTCGGATTTCTCTGCGAAAGTTTTCTCTCGCTCTCTCTTCCCAGTAAAGGCAGCCTCTCGCCCAGTACTATTCGAGGCCTTGCAACCTCAACAAGTACCTCCAATTAGTGAGTTCTTTTTTGATTTTGCATTTTTCTTCTTCTTTTTTCTTGCTAATTTCGGATTTCTCTGTTAACAACACTGTTCTCAGTGTTTGTTTTGGAGGAAACCCTATAAAAACATTTCTAGGGTTAAATCTACTTATTTTTGTATAATTTCCTATGTTGAATGTAATATTAAATTGGTTTAATAGTTTTCTATGTTGTAAATCGAATTCTAAGGCAATGCAAAAGCTTTATTACGGGATTTTTCTATGTTGTAAATCTAGATTCAGGGTTAACTGATTGTTTTGAGTGCTTGAAATCAAGTTCCCTGACAATCTATCCGTATTAGAGTGCTTGTTGGTTGTCTGCATGATAAGATATTAGAGAGCTTGTTGGTTGTCTGCATGATAAGAATATGGATGTGCACAATCATTTGATAGTTTGGGTTCTTGATGGAATCAGTATACTGCATTCCAGACTGCTGTAATTTTGATTGGCTTGATTCGCTGTGAGATTGCGACATTAGCATCAGCCTAGTTCATGCAAACCTTAAAATTTGTTATATTGTTTTTATTATGGAAACAATCCCATAAAAAATTCAAAAAATTGAATTAGAGCTCCAAGAATGCTCAAGATTAGGAAAAAAAAAAAGACTTACTTTGTTCAGATTTTCAGATTAGCTTGGGTAATCTGTAAAAAAAGTAGTTTTGATTAGCTTGGGCAATTCATATTTTCCTGTATCTCTCTCCTCTACCTCTTCTCCTACTTGCTTGGTTCAAATCCACACAAAAAACCATATTCTCTTCTCCTAAACTCATTCTCCAATTCAACTGCAGATTGTTTTGGTACTGGGGTAAGGCTGGATCTCCTTACTCTTCACCAATCTGGACCCTTTATGGACTTTGAACACCACCACTTTGATCCTTCACTTCCAAACCTATCAGACTATGAGACCACCATCCCCAACTTCTTCGAGTTCTGTGATACCAAGCACAAGGACTATTTGTCCATGCCATGGCACCAAGAGAGAGAAGAAATTTGAAACCCATATACTATTTTTCAGAGACTATTAGCATCAAATGAGGATTATTGGTTTTAGTTTTGTAGGACTTTTGTCAAGAAACTTTAGTTTCTGGGAATGGTCATAGTCAAATTTGGAAATTGGAAGGTGGTCTAGGGTTCATAATGAATGAGGATTTGGTTTCAGTGCTCTTATTGAACACTGATTTTCGAAGTGATCAACTTTACTTTCATGGCTAATTAAAATGTTGTTTGTCGTTTTTTCTGTATTTCTGTTTAACTAATCCATGTCACATCCTTATTTTTGAAACTGCTCGGATGTCGTTTGGATGACAATTCAATTTATCCATTAACCTTTTCAATGCGCTTTAGAAAATTATTGCTGAGTTATTGAGAAGGTTTTCTTCATTATGCTGCAAATTGCGGCAACATTCTATCATGAATATTAGCATCCTATCTGTTATTTACTGTAAGGATCTTCAGTTGTATTTGGTTTGAAGGAAACAATAAGATTGGCTGCAATGATTATGATGGCATCACAAAGTTAGCATGATTTAGTCATTAAGGGGAAGGTGAAGTTATCAGGTGAGATGTTTTCATGCAACATGTGGGTGTAGAGAGAGAGAGCATTAGCTGGGGATGGACTTGATGACAATATTCTGATTATGACATGTCATATGGAATGGCTCATAATGGAAGACATTGCTTTAACCGCAGATGAGACCTTGGGTTCTCTTCTTATATGAGATATTTCCTTGTTCTGATACTTATCTATTTCTATGCTCTCTAGTCTATTAATTGCCATTTAGCTCCTTACTGATTGTGTATACCTGCCATATTCTATGCACCTTTTGCTTGGGTTTTTATGAATGTGAATTTGAATTATAGACAACTTGAACGTAGAGAAACCTATGCTTGAAGAATAGTCCCTTGCTAATTATCTTGCTCTCTTTTATAGGATTTGATTAGATTTATGTTATTATGCTCTCTTTTGTTATGCTTTATTTATGGTTCAATAGTACAGGGTGGTTATGTTTCTGGTTGAGCATGTACATTTCCAACATTGTCTTTTTTGGCATCCTTGGGAACCCTTTTGTGTGCTAAATGCTAAACAGTTCAGCATGTTAAATTGTGGTCAATGCATTCGTATTCTGATATTTTATGTTGAATTCTATGATGGTTTTACTTTGTACTGTTTTGGCATATTCAACGCATTGAGTTTCCTTAAGCTCTATATGACAATTTGTTGCGTTGTTTCTTTTTAAAGTGTCTAGATGATATAGATCTGCATTGTCGTTGTTGTAGAACTTGGTTATTGGATTGTACTTTGAACTTCCAATGATTACTAAAATTCATTGTGGTACTTTGTTTTGGCTTTATCTGCATTTTCTCTATTTATGTTTGAGCTATAATGCCTTGTACTTTTTATTAATTATTTATGCTTAATATTTAGTTCCATCTAGTTTAAAGAAATCAACCTAACGAGGCTTTATTATAACTGCTAAATATTACCGTAACAATATGCGCCAGTGGAACCCTGTAGAGGAGGCCCACTAACTTCTTTAACTTCCTAGGAGGTTATCAAACACAGAAACCAGGAACTTCTTTAACTTCCCAGGAGGTTATCAAACACAGAAACCAGGTACTTCTTAAGTTCTCCAGTTCCAATTGTGATGATGTTCGTTTTTGGAGCATCGCCATTATTTTACAGTGACAAAATGTGAGTCTTAGGTGAAGGAAGAGGAAAGAAAACATTGGTTTTCACTCTTTATGAGAAATAAGAAAAAAAATATGCAAAGAGAATATATATTTTTTGGTTGAATATAAAGAGACTATTTACTCTTAGTACAAGTCACAATCATTTCTTCTTAAAAATTTAAATCGAGCGGTCTGAATATTTTAAGGGAAAAGTTTATATAGAGTCGAGGCTCTAAACAATCACATAAGAGCCTACCTCAAAAATTTCACTAGAAAAGATTGTTTTGATGCCCAAATATCCTCAAATTGATAATCTCGACATCAAGATGCATGGACATGAGAAAAAATGGATTTCAAGTTTCGGAAATAATGTATTCTGTAGCGCATTTTTGGATCGTCAATTTTCAAAATTTTCAAGTTTTCATAGATCTGTCGATCTACACTATTTTTGAAGCTTTAAACTTTACAAATAAAATTGAAAATATATTTTAAAACTATCACAAAGATTTCCAATATTGAAACCACATTTCTCGACACTATTTGAAGGTAGGCTCTAATTTGATTATTTAGAGGGCCTAGGTAGGCTCTGCACAAACCGCACCCATATTTTATATTTTAAATCAGGTTGTCGTAAGTGTATCATCGACAAGAGTTAAAATTCAAAGAAAAATCTTTTGCATACCTCAAGACATCCAATTCGAAGTTAGTGTTGATTGTAACCTCACTTTAATCACAGTACACAAGGATGGCTAGTTCAGGGGGGGCACGGCCAGATCTCGACATATTTGAGGGATTTGGATCGCTATTGACGATTCTCAATCTAGATCAGACGATTTTGATCTGGATCATCGAATTTTCAAACCTTGACTTGACCCATTGATCTCTTACCTGTTACTCTCTGTCTCTATAGGTGGTGGAGAAGTCCCCAATTCCAATTGTGATGTTGGTGTTTGGAGCATCGCCATAATTTTACAGTGACAAAATGTGAGTCTTAGGTGAAGGAAGAGGAAAGAAAACATTGGCTTTCACTCTTTATGAGAAATAAGAAAAAAAATATATAAAGAGAATATATATTTTTTGCTGAATATAAAGAGACTATTTACTCTTAGTACAGTCACAATCATTTCTTCTTAAAAATTTAAATCGATCGGTCTTAATATTTTAAGGGAAAAGTTTATATAGAGCCGAGGCTCTAAACAATCAACTAAGAGCCTACCTCAAAGATTTTACTAGAAAAGATTGTTTTGATACCCAAATATCCTCAAATTGATAATCTCAACATCAAGATGCATGGACATAGAAAAAATGGATTTCAAGTTTTGGAAATAGTGTATTTTGTAACGCATTTTTGGACCGTCAATTTTCAAGATTTTCAAGTTTTCATAGATCTGTCGATCTACACTATTTTTGAAGCTTTAAACTTTACTAATAAAGATGAAAATATATTTTAAGGCTATCACAAAGATCTCCGATATTGAAACCACATTTCTCGACACTATTTGAAGGTAGTCTCTAATTTGATTGTTTGGAGCCTAGGCTCTACACAAACTGCACCCATATTTTATATTTTAAATCAGGTGTTGTAAGTGTATTAAGAATTTAAAATTCAAAGACAAGCTTTTGACATACCTCAAGACATCCAATTCGAAGTTAGCAGTGATTGTAACCTCAACATAATCACAATACACAATCCCATGAAAGGAAGGTCCGTAAGAATCCGAGAGTTCCCGTATGAATGAGTAGGTCATCTCCATGTTTGGCTGAACCTCCTGTCTTTTCAAATGAGATAGTTCGACGAAGAAAGAGAGCAAGCATAGAAGGATAGAGAGACATAGAGAGCACCATCGTTGCAAAGAATGAGAGTGAGAGGACTGGTTCGGGGTCAGAGAGAGGGGAAAACCTTAGACGGAGGAGAAAGATAGAAAGACCCTAATTGGCTCCAGTCTTATCGAAGTCACGGTGCTGAAATCAGAGCATCTCTTTGGTGAGTTGAAGAAGGGCTAGTGCATCTCTGTGTAAGCTAGATTTTCCTAACCTCATATTCACGCTTTTTTTCTGCTTATTTTGTGCTTGGAAATGTTTCTTATTTGGGTTCATCTGGTGTGTTAGGGGATTAATGGAGGTATATAGGAAAATTTAGGTGGAAATTGGAGTCTTCCATGTCTGTGTTCCTCTCTTTGATGACCTCTTATACTGTATCCGAGCAGTTTAGTTTACTGAAATTTTCCATGTGTATTTGTGGAAGGAAAGCAGTAGAAGAAAAATGGGCGATCATTCGATTGAGAGTGGTAATGAGGCGGAGGCACCAAAAAGAGGAGGATTGGAGGGGACGGGCTTGAATCTGCCGACAAACCTCCATATGAACCTCAAGAAGGCATCGAGTGACAAGGACATCAAAGATTTGCTCGACCACCTCAAACGTACCAAACATCCTGTGAGTCTCTCACTTCGATCGTTCTTTCATAGGTTTTCTCTCTCTGTCACTTGAACGTCGAAATGACTTGGCTCGGTTATTCTCTCCCTCTATACATGGGGAGTGATTTCATGCAACTCTCTTCTAGTTGAAATATACTGTAAAAAATCATGTTAGGAGCACTTGTTTGACCCAGATTTTTGAACATACACTCAATTCACTATAATGAATAATCTAAAAAAAAAAATGGAAACCAACCATGAATCTTGCATTTTTCAACCCAATCAACATAGCACCATCCATTTGATGGTATGATTGGATCAAGGCCTTTCACGGTTTATTTTCCGGTCCCAAATCTTGTCCTGAATTTTGTAGATGGCCTTATGAACGTTAGGTGAGCAATTCTCAAAGCAAAAAATTGATTTTGATTTCTTAAAAGCCTAGATCTCAATGTCCACCAAATGGATGATCTGGATTCATTGTTGAAGTGTGACTCATTTTGATATTTTCTAGGGCGAAAATTCAGCTTGTTTTCTTTTGAGCATTGATTAGCATTGATTGTTGGGATGACAAGAGTGCGATTGCAAAATTTGAGATCACACAAATACTACAAATATGGTTTTTTAAAACCGTGGTTCCATTATATTATAATATAATGCTGGCATCAATATGTCAACCTTATACTATTGAAGTAGGGCGCACTTCAAAACTATATTGAAAGATGCAGTTTCAGTGTTGGAAAGCATTTCAATAACATTATAATCTCTTGTTATTCCTAATTATGAAATTCAAGGCTCTAAAAAGGATGCAGATAGCGTAGACATATGAACACTTAAAATTTTTTAAAATGGATGGTCCAGACAATGTGTTACAAGATGCACTATCTTTTTAACTTAACGCCTTTTTTTTTTTTTTCACTTCTATACATCTCGAGGTTGAGATTATCAATTTCAGTCTTCTTTCATTAGAGCAACCTTTTTCAATCGGATTTTAAGATGTGCCTTACTTCAATAGTATAAGGTTGACACCTCATATTAACTTTCTCCATAAGCACACACACTTAAAGATTGAACTGTACTGAATCGACATCTTAGGCTGGAATCCGGCGCTGATCTACCCATAGAGGAAGAAAAAAATCGGCATCAAGTCTGATCTTGCTTGGAATCTAAACTTTGGGATTGTTGCAGTGTCTTTTATCCCTTGGACTTAATTTTCTCCTTTAATGTCTACCCAAAATGGGCTGGATTATACTGAAGTTGTTCATGAATAGTTTTGGGAATTTTATGTGCAGGCTATTATCAATTATGGAGCTTCTTGGTATGCTTCTTCTGTCTTATTGTATTTTTTTTGGTCTTTTCTTGTATTATCGGGAAAATTGGTGTGATTTTCATTAATGGTAACAATTTTAGCTGGTATGGGGATTATGGTTTGATATCTACTATGATAGTTTGGATTTTGTTTGGGAAAACTGTTTTAAATAACTTATCCAAAAAAAACTAAAAAAAGCAACTGTTGTTTCAATCAGCGAACTTGGCCGTAGATTGGAAAGATGCTTTCTTTAGCTTTCTAGGAGTTGTATTATGGATGTCTTTGATCATAACCCTCATTTTCCTAATCGATTGGCCATGTTTTTTATGCAAGCTTTTTTCTTTGAGTACAATTTGTTTTGAATGTTTAATCTTAGGTTTGTCCTCTTCAATGACCTTTAACTTCTACAATTTTCTTAAGATGCAGGGAGTTTGAGTTCTCTTAATGTTGGTACCGTGAGATTCTTGATGATCAATTGTGTTTGAGCATGGCAAGAAACTGTGTAACTTGTGCTTCTGCCCCTAATCTCTATGAGTGATGGATTTCTAGCTTCTATCATTTTAATCTGTGTATTTCATACCTTGTCAATATGCAATACTGTTTTGCATATTGATGGAGATTAAAAACATGAAGTCAGGGTCAAACTTGCTAGGATCCCAAGCCTGAGTCATCCAGTTTGACTCGGCAAAATCTCAACATGATACAGCTGAGTCTTTGAGTAAATAGTACAGTAGGATCCAGGACTCAGTGCTACTAGACAAGTTGTAAGGTTTTTAATCTGGAACGGCATCCTACCAGACCTGAGCAACTGGGGTGAGTCTGTGCCTATATCCTGGTGCTTTAAATCACTAGTGACGTGTATATATAAATCTACCATGATCACATGCCTATGCAACATGTAACTAAAAATCTAACATGGTGATATAGGTACAAAGTCATTAAAAGAATAGTGAAGTCAAACTTTGAATCTAAATGAAGAACTTTATTGAGATTTCCAAAGAATGGGTAATAAATTATGCTGGGGTATGTCATGAGGGATGGGAAGAGTGACATATTGCCCTTCTCTGAGCCTATGGTAGTGGGGATTCAACTATGGGTTGTATTGTTGGGGTTCTTCTTAACACATGGTCTTTGTGAAACCTATTAGAAATTCAGTATTTAAGGGAATTCCATTGATCTGTTGATTAGTTGTAGGACTGACTGTATGTCCATGGTGGTTTAGCAGTATACTACCTATAGATTTTGGTTTGTTATGTTGTCTTCTTATGTATGATGTACCAAGAGAAGTAAATTTCATGGGAATGACTCAAGTAGTTTAGGTGTAATTAGGGAATCTTCTTATGGCAATGAAAAGCTTCTTTTACATAGCTGTGTCTTCACTTTGGGTTGGAACTAGCAATGCAGAAAAGACAACTATGTGCACAGGTCCAATACTTTCTAGATTTAAGATGGTATACTGCTCTTTTTTACCTTGGCCTCTGGGCCCGGGTGGCACCTTTTTTTTGTGAGGGCTGCTACACCCAAACTCTTGTAACTTACTCCTTGTTAATATCAGTTAACTTTATCAAAAAAAAGAAGATGGTATACTGCTCATTGAAAACAGATGGATGTGGCTTTATCTAAAGGTAATTAGATTCGATTGTCTTACCGGAAATTGAATTGGTAAAATCGATATGCTCCCTTTTGTCATAAACAGCTATATGCAACAACTGGAAAATACCTTCTGCTTGTACTGCATGATTTTTATTTTGTAAATTTGTAGCTCCCAAATTGTGTTTAATAAATACACCCTATTATCCTCAGCCAATTGGATCCATTTTCCTGTTTTCTACCAGTGTAGTTTATAGTGCAACAATCTGCAGTTCACAGGAATCAGGTTGGATCTGTAAATGGGACCATGATACCCAGATATTCCTGTTCGACTTGAATATGATGTGAGGTTTTTGTGATATTATGTATATTCTTTCTATTGAGCATAAATAAACTGTCATGTCCAGGTGTCCGTTCTCACTTCTCTTATTGGAGTTAGTGAAGTCAATTACTAATGGAGATCTTACTGCATAACAAAATCTTGTTGGCTTCTTCAGAGTTTGTCTTTGTGGCTTACGCATGTGTTACCCGATCTAATTGACAACAAAGGGCTTAGCAGTTATTTGAAGGTCAATTATTGTACTCTTTCTACATGGAATTTGAAAAGAGCAAGATTATAGTTCTTTACGCATCATGATCTACTCTTAGTTTTTGATTTGTCTATAAGATCTCTTAGATCTTGCATCATTGCATCCCAAATTTAACCCTTAGATTGAGTCTATAATTCCTTTTGACTTTTGAGTATTATGTCACATGTTCCTTCCTGTATTCCTTCACAGGATATTTTATCTAAGTCTTGTGATTAGGAACATATTCAAGATTACTGATTCCATCCTTATCACTTCCAGGATTGTTTATGCCATTCATATGCAGAACGTGAGCAAACATCTTTTAGGTTGACTGCTTCATCAAGTGAGGATGATTATTTGCACTTCTTTAATATCATCATGAACAAAAAAGGATCCTTTAAATTTTCTAAACCATGTAACGCTACTTGGGCTGTAAGTAGGGCTGCCAATGGAACGGGCTTGAGCAGGACCTTAAATGAAATCTCGGGGCTAGGCCAGAACCTTGCCTGAATGCCTCAGTTGAGGCCCAAGCCCGCCCTGACTTAATAGCTTTCTTATTAAGTGAATTTGTAGATGAACTTAAAAACATTTTATACTTGTCCTTTACCTCTACCTCTCTCTAGTGGATGTGGGACTAAAGAGTATCGATGGAGTGAGGTAAGACAGAGTGAAGATGGATGCCCCAACAGTTTCTAGAGATGGAGACGAGTTTCCTGGTTTTATAGAGAGAAAAAGAAATGTTGGGTCAGTGGTCTATGAGAAGAAATTTATTGGTGATTTCGGAGCTCTCGAGCTTCTAGTTTTGTGTGTCTTTAATGGTATTCTCTTTGCAAAGGGATCAGTTGTGGTTAATGGTTTGATTAGTGGGGTCGATTCCTTATTGGATTATATTCTTCTTTAGGCATGAGTTCCTTACGTTCTTGATCTCATTGTCCATTCCTCCAGGTAGCTGATCTGCTATCCGAGACACTGAGACCACCAGAAATTGTCCAACAATGAAAATTTCATAAGGGAGAGAAAATGTGTCCCATCGCTCTCTCTCTCTCTCTCTTTCAGTTTTCTGACATGTTAAGAAGTGAAGCTCTCTCTCAATGTTTTGACACATGCCAAGAACTCTCTCTCCCCTCGACTACTTATTGCTGAGAACTGCGTCAGCGATTTTGACACTTAATGCCATAACCCAAATTCAAATGTTCATCCAATTTTCATAGTTTTTAGTATGAAGGCAGGATTCCTCTCTCTCAAGACAACAAGGGTGTTCATACTCCAACCATAGTGAGATCTCTTCTGAGGCATGGAAAATGCTACTTTCTGGGAGACTGCAGTTCTGGTCTTTTCCTGGTGAAATAAATTCTAAATGGACTTGAGTGGGTACTTTGAATTTTGGCAGGAAACTGCATATTTTGGCACCACTTCCATGGTTCTCACTTCAATGAGAAATTCTCAAGAGCTTATGACCAGTCTATTAAAGCACTGGAGGACTGAATTTTAGGAATGGTGCCCGATAAGAGATCGTGTCGGAGGCTGAGCCCTCTTAGAGAGAGAAGATTTTCAGTGATTTTAGGGCTTTTGCGAAGGTTTTACAAGGATGGAGCCTGGTATTTGAGTTGGAGCTCAGGTCAAGGAGTTGCAGGCTTGACAGGTTAGAGACTTAATAAGGCAAATAACCATTGACACAGTTGTTAGAGAGAACGTGCTTGTTGAGGTTGGCTATAGCTAAAAGGGCATGAATAGGGAAAGGACCAGTGAGATTATCGTTGGAGTGATTCATGTATTTGAGCATGTCTACTCTTTAGTCCCACAGTGACTAGAGAGAGAGGGATAGAGCCAGAGCACACATATAAATGGTGGTTGAATGGGGTTTATTTATATTGATTTTACTCTTTGTTATTATTTGTAATCATGATCCGTAGACCATTTCATAGTTTGAATGTTAGTCTTTGGATTATATATTCTATCTTTAATATGCAAAATTCATAGTCTATAGTATATGAACTCTAAAATATGGACTAGAAAATTCTAGTTCATAAACTCTAGAATATGCAGTTGAAATGAATATACTGTAGAAATTCCGGCTGGGATTCTTAAATAATCATGTAATTTGTGTTTCAAAACAACTATGAGATTTTATAATTTGTTTAGGACGATTTCTTAAAGGGAGAGAATGCCTTTGCAAAGCATGTGAAGAGTGCATAACGGCACATTCATGTGTGAGCAAAGGCGAGGGCGAGAGTTCTAGGTTGGTTCACATTCACTCGTTGCCTAAATTTTTGGCCTTCAGAATCATGTGGTCTCTACGGACCATCATAATATTTTAAAAAGAAAAAAGGAAAAAAAGATCTCGGAGAACTCTTCATGGAGGAAAAGGGTCAAGCAAAGGAAAACAAGATAAACCGCTAGGGGATTGAAATGGTAGAGGAAACTTAGAAGCCAAGCTCCATAGCCACACCTTACAATAAAAAAGGAAACCTTAAGGATAGAAGTAAAAAACTAACCTCACCCTACATCATAACCTATTTAAATCCATAACCCTAGCCAAAGTACAAGCTGGACCAACCATTACAAACTTTAAATCACAATCGTAAACATAAAGCAAGAAAGCAGCAAAAGGCAATCTAGTCCAAAATGCCCATAAAGATGAAACTACTGCTATAATTTCGTAGTTTGCACTTTGAATGCCATTTTCAGGCCTCTATAAGCTTTCTTTGACAAAATCGGTTTCTGCAATACCACCTATTCTGAGCTGCAAGCAAAAGTTCTGCATTATCGAAGGCATGCTGCTCAACAAAACTGCCAAGATTAATTTCCCTTGGGTAGGGATGACTCGCCCTTGAGGCTTGCTCAGCCATGATCCTCCTCCACGCTTCCTCATCAATCTGTTTTAGGTCCTTTTCTCAGATCCATGTGGTATATTATTCCGATTTACCCCTCCACTGGACTAGGTATTGGTTATATGAACAACGCCAAGTGGTGATGGTCCAAATATCCAAGACTTCGTGAATGACTTCAGCTGCTCGCTTATGCAGCTGGGCTTCCAACTTGGATGCTCACAGGTGCTCCATGATATGCATAAAGGTCAGCAACATTGAAACATGGGATATGTTATACCCCTCAGGGAACTTAATTTTGTAAGCGTTGTTACTTATTCTTTGTAGCACTCGAAGGAGCGGACCTTCTTGTACTTCAGTTTGATAGGTGCTAACGAGGAAGTGCTCTTGCCACAGGTGCTCCATCATACTCATAAAGGTCAGCAACATTGGAACATGGGATATGTTATACCCCTCAGGGAACTTAATTTTGTAAGCGTTGTTGCTTATTCTTTGTAGCACTCAAAGGAGCGGATCTTCTTGTACTTTAGTTTGATAGGTGCTAACCAGGAAGTGCTCTCGCCGCAGGTGCACCATCATCAGATCTTCTTCATTATACTGTTTCTCTCGTTTGTGTTGATCAGCATCATCCCCTTATACTTGGCATGGTTCGCGTGTAGCTTCTTTCTCACTTGCCTGTGGATGTCATCAAGTTGCTCGATCGGTACCTCTGCATCATCACTAGCTTGTTCTTTATCGGGAAGGGGAGCTAGGTCAAGCACTTTGCTTCGCTGCTGACCATACACAACCTCAAAAGGGAACCTTCCTTTTGACCTTTTGACACTAATGTTGTAGGAGAACTCGGCATGGGATAGGACCTCATCTGGGCTTGTCCTCAGTAAGACTCTGAAGGACATTTTCCAGGCTTCGGTTCACCACCTCTGTTTGGGGTTCTGTTTGTGCGTAAGCACTGCTGCACTGAAGTTTGGTGCTGACCTTCCTTCACAGATTTCGCCAACAGTGACTCATGATTTTGGGGTCTCCATAGAGGGAAACAACTTCCTTGAGGAATAAATCAACCGCATGGGTTGTGTCAAGGTTATTTCTCCATGGGATGAAGCGTGCCATCATCAAAAACTGATAAACCATGACAAAGATGGACTTGCAACCTCTAACTGTGCGATGTTGTCCCATCACAAAATCCATACTAGTGTCTATCCAGGGGTTGGAAAGGATGGGCAGAGGGGTGTATAAGCTTGTGTTTTGGGACTGAACTTTGTTCAACTGGCAAGTTTGGCATCTCTCCACCAGCTGACTGGCATCTCCTTTGAGTCTAGGCCAGTAATATTTCTCTTCCATAGTTGCAATTGTCTTATCTCGAAGTGACCCTTTTGGGATTCACAGTCTACTCCCTTTGAGAAGGAAACCATTTTGCAATACGAAGTCAGAAGTAGGAACCTTGAACGATTTATGTAGTTTAAAATTTTTCTTTTTCCAAATCGGCTAGGACACTTACATAAATCCAAAGATTACATTGAATACTCAAATAGATAAACAAGAACTCAAATTTGGATTCTCACTTGCTGTCACTCTCTTTATTTCATAACCAAAAGTTTGAACTTGGGAACAAGAAACATAAAGTGCAATAACTTGACAGAGATGCCAAAAGATTACCTCAATTGGACTTGATACACCCCACTCCGGGTCTCCTCCACTGATGACGCATGGGAACAAGGTATTTCTTAAATGTCACAAGTATGGAAAGCTTTGTTTAGAAACCCTTCAGAGGATGAGAGATGTCTTTTCTTCTCAATCTCTATGCGTGGGGTGTGACCCTCTAGAATTCTATCAATGGTTGGGACGTGCCCCTTCTTTTGTCAAAGAGAGAGAGTTTGAGCGATGAAGAGATAAAGATAGAAATAGATAAGAGAGGGTGGCATGCCACCTTGAGGGGGGAGAGAGATGTAGGTTGTGGTGTGGAGAGGGATGGTCCCCCATAGAGATCTTTTATAGACTTGTGGTTACGGTTAGGGTTTCTAGGGTTTGCCATCCTTATGGAGATTTCATTTCGACCATTGATCAAAGAGACCTTTGGGGTGAGAAATTTTAGCCATACAATCTATAAATCAGCTATCATGATCAAATAGAAGGTGTCAGAACATTATCTCTTAGTTTCTTTAACCTATCCGATTAATGATATAATGTAGAGAAATATAATGCACCTTCCTTTTATTTTCACTTAAATCTCTACATATTCTTCTTTTGAAAAGTTAGTTAACCTTATTACAAAACCGTCATATTTTATTTCATTCAATTGAATGGCCCATCATGCAAGCCAACCAAAATAGAAAGAGAGGGAGAGATGTGGGGTGTGCCACCCATGGAGGCACTTGTGGAACCTACACCTTCATCAAACTATGCTATAATGGTGGGGCTCATAGAGTATAATGCCCACCATGAATTTTAATAATTTTAAAACCTATAAAATAGTTTTTAGAAAACCATAAGCATTTGTATTTTCAATTTGAATAATTGTGTACTTGAAAATGCAGTTTAAGCTTATTTAAAATCAATTTTGAACAAATAAAATATCCAGAGAACTCGAAAATTTTTATTTTATTAATCTAAAAATCATTTATAATTAAATTAATTATTTTTAAATTAATTTAATGGGAATCGGATCCAATTTCATTAAGAAAAATGCGAAAATACTGAGGTACTCCATCTCTACTAATGTTTGTGGTTGGAAGCACTTATTGCCTTCAGAATGATAGATGGATAGTCGCAAGTTTTCTTTTCCCAGAAAACCAGAAATTAGATAGCAGTTCCCTTGTGCATGCGATTCATCTCCAGCATACTTCTGAGACAGAATCTTTTATGAGCTTTTTTGCACATATAGGATCGGGGGTTATTTTTTGAAGGCTTTATTTGATGAACTCCTATGTATCATCAGCATAATTTATTTTTTATATTCAGATAAAACCAACTGGTAATCTGCATTTTGTTTGGCCATACTCAGGTACTAGCTTCATTTGAGTGGTTATTTCAGATTGACATTAATTTTAAATAGACGATTTTGATTTGAAAAGCTCATGCCTTTCTGGAAACTCTGAAACATCTATTCAGAAGCTATCCTGTTTGTACTTTTTTACAGTAAAACATAGCGAACTGTTTTATTTGCACTCCAAATACCTTTGCACCATTATGCTGTCATTCATTTAGTGGTCTTAGTCAGGGGCCCGTTTACTTATTTTGGAAAAAGATAGAATGTCGTGCATTTGAAGCATTCACAAGGTTGTAGTGGTGCAGTGGTAATACCAGATTTTAAATGTTTCTTTTGTGTCTAGAATTGTTAGTGGTGATTAAAATTGAGAGCTTGTAGAATAGCTGCACTAGTATTTTGATCTGTATATTGAACAATCTTTTGTTTCTCTTTTTATGCTTTATACTATAATTATTGACTTAATCACTTCTCTGCAGGTGTCGTGTTTGCAGCCAAGTCCTCCCTACCTTCTGTCATCTCAGCAACAAATTTCCAAATCACACATTTATATATGCAGATATAGATGAGTGTCCCGACATGACTCAAACTATACGTTACACTCCGACTTTTCATTTCTTTCGAGATGGTGAAAAGGTAGATGAAATGCTTGGTGCTGGAGACCAAAGGCTACATGATCGGCTGTGGCTGCACTCCTAATCCGCCAACGCATTTTTTTTTCTTTTTGGGGTGGGTTTGAGGTGTGGGGGAAGGGATTTTGGGGTTGGTTGCTGTGGCACAATGGCATTCTAAGGAGATTATGTTCTAATCTATGGTTGTCAGCTTATCTCCACTGATTGCATTTATAAGTGGCCAATTGATATTTGCTTTCCTCTACGTATAGTACTCGTCTATGTCAGTATCTTGCTCATTTCCTCCAGTGTGATTATTTTGAAGTTAAAAATAGAAACAAAAATGTGTGTATGCCTGCATGCATGCGTGCTTGTGTGTGTGTGACAAGAAAGAGTTCTGATGATGGCCATCTAAATCCCACCTCCTCCATTGACCAACGAGTACCATTTTCTCTCTTCTACCCTCTCCCCTCTGCCTTTTGCCTTCAGCTTGGTTTCTCTGTAGCATGACATAGCCAAATATAAAAAATATTAATAAATAAAAATAGAAGATTCCCTTGTAGTGTGTGTGTTTGCAAAATCATTACTTCCCATAAGAGTTTGTGCTTAAGATGGCAAATCATTACTTTCATTGTAGTGTATGTATTTAAGTTGGTTGATTTGTTGTGCTGTATGTGTTTACTTAATCGGCCTTTATCTGTCAGTTTGGCAGAGCCCCTCATTCCTAAAGAGTTCAGTTGAATGATTGAAGGAGATCTGTTGTATCAGTAATTTTTGAACCTCTACAAAAGGTTACCTTTCACAAGCTGGAGAACACTCTGTGATGAAGTATTAAATGTCTTTAATTTGCATCTGACACGGATACCGATTATAAGACGTAAAAAGTCTATTGGGGGAATAAACCTTTGTATTACGTTGATTTATTGACATTGGATCAATGAAGAATGGTTCCGTCCACTTTGTAGTCACCTTTGTGTTAAAATGAATTGTGATGAAAATTGGATATCGTAATGGGGATGAGAAATGTTTTCTGTGTTTTTGTGCCTTACATTGTCAAACTGGCCATGTAGTAAATCCTTTTATAGTAATACCACAGCGTGTAAGCTGCAAAACCTGCGCATATGTGACCCCCCTCAAACAAAAGGAAGAATTATTTTGAATAAAGGGAAATTAACACAAGCAAAATGGTTAGATAGGGCTGCAGCCCTATTAAAACAAATAAAGCCTCACCTCATAACTCATCGAAAATTGCAATTCAAGCATTGGAGAACTTTTACATCATCTTGGATCTCGGCATGAACATTATCGTTGTGAAAAAAAGTTAGGGTTTCAAGCTCTAAAAGTAATATATATTGCAACAAATTATCAGGACCATCTATTTCGCCCTAAAAATAAGTGTTCATAGATCTGCAAGATCTGTTTTTTGAGTTTCAAATATTATTGTCGGTATTGGAAATTGATTTTAGAGCTATCATGGAGATTCTATTGTCGAAAGTGCTTTCGGGATGAGGATTTGAGATGAGGTTTGATTTTGTTTTCATAAAGCCTAAGCTTATAGAAACCTCAGCCATATATATACATATATATCAAGGGTCCAGTGTTTTCCCCTAAGTGGCTCTCCTGGCCTTGGCAGGTACTTTGCTTAGAGTTCTTTCGTCTCTGGCCTTTAACTCTCAGACCAACTTTCTTAGATGAAAATTTAGTTAAGTTTCTAAGATATTACAGTAACTTTTACTGGTCAAACTCTAAGAGTAATAAACAAGGACATAGTAATAAATGATGTTGAAAAACATATACAAACTTGGAATATTCCCAAAGTACCTATCTCAGATATTTATCAAAGGAGAACATTTAATTTAAAACTAGGATATGCAATTAAGACAGTAGAAGAAAGTTTATCAGTAACACAACATCAGGAAGACTTCCAATTGTTATCTCGAAAAATAATAAGAAAACATAAAGAGAATAATTATAAATATTTACATATTGGATTAATCCAAATAGCAATAAAACCTTTAACCAGGTTAGGTTTAAACACTTCAGTGCTCGTATGCCTAAGAGATACGAGGCACAATAAGTTTTCGGACTCACTCCTAGGCATGGTTGAATCCAGCCTTTGCAGTGGACCCATTTACTTTAACTGTTTTCTAAATTTTTCTATCTCATTAACAGATCCGAATATCCTAGATATATTAACAATAAACCTTAAAACACATGGATTCCATATGACTCTTGGATATCAAAACTTAGCCATAGTATATCGTATCTATTACAAAGTCGTGAATACTCTTTGTCCTAATATTATGCAAATAGATAAGAAAGAACAAACTGTATTATTTCAAACTAATATAGAAAAATCGAATATCATTATTCCAAGAACTATTTCTTGGTCAGATATTATTTTACCCCAGTCATGGTCAATTCAAAATGACAACCAACCAAAAGAAGTACCTATGAATCATCTTCCTAATCAAATTATTGAACATCAAAACGGTAATATAGAAATAAAATTTCAAAATAATAAACCAATAGTACAAGATGACTCAGAACTAAATAAGAAAAGAATTAGAAAACCAATAGTTCCAGCAAGGAAATCTTGCGATACAACTCCAGAAATAATCATTCTTCCTTCATCAACACCTACATGATCTTCAGATTTACAATTACAAGGAACAAATAAGCCGCAGATCATATAATCATACCTACTTATACATCTGAACCAGATATTGCTGACTTTCAAATATTAACCCTACAAGTCAAAGAAAACATGGAGATAGATGAATACCTAGTAAAACCAAAAAGAAAAAAAATAAATATCGAATATATAAAAAATGATTATTTGGCTCCAGAAAACCAAGGTATTAGGGAATGGTATCTTAAAGCGTTTCAGCCCCGATTAGTAGAATTATTTAATAAAAAATACAATAAATTTCTAAAGAAAGAAAAACAAACAAAGGGATTTTTCATATGATTACAAGAAATCTGTACCCAATATAATATCCAAATTCCTCAATTTGACATTCAAACAATAGAAGAGAAAACATATATAAGTACAGATGGTACAAGTACTGCAAGTATTCACCCTCTTGAAAAAAGTATAGTCCTCAAAGGAGTAAAAACTCCACCACTGAAAGGTGAACCACCACAAGCCTTATACGAGATTATTGCAACACCTTATAAAGTTGTACCCAAGGAAATGACTAAAAAACATGAATTAATACTCCATATAGTGCAATAAAATAATTATACAAACCTATATATGCAGTCCTTAGGAAAACAAGCAGAACGCATAGAAGAGTTAATTACTCATCAACCTAAAATAATAGTCCCTCCTGTTCCTAAAGCTGTTTTATTCAAACCTCCTCCGGAACTAAATAAAACTAAATTTCATATTGGAGAAGATAACAAAACATTAATGGATCAGTTAATTTCAAAATTAACCCAATTAGATATCAAAGGAATATCCTCCCCAACAATAAATCTTTCAGTACTTATACCAAGTATCCCAGAATCATCCGATAAAGGAAAACAGAAGATTACTGAGCATGAAACCTTAATGCTCCATGAACCTCCTGAATATGAAAATTTAAGGCTTCAAGAGGAAGAACCAACCATAGTAGATAATTTGCGAAATAGAGAACTAGCCTTTATGGATACCTCAACCAATAACCTAAATAGAATAGCCTATGGTAAATCATGGAAACCGATTACCGCTTTACCATATTATAAAAGACTTACACCTGTTGATGTCCAATTAGAAGAAGATGCCATACAACAGGCAGTATTCTATTCCTGTAGATCTATTGTAAATTGGACTATTGATGGTTTATCTGATTTAAAAATATTAGATGTAAATAGACATATGACTATGTTTGCATTCACCAATAAGATGACTGGTAACCCTGATCAAGAAGTTGCCAAAGCGATAGTTAACGGATTTACAGGCTGGCTAAGAGGCTGGTGGGATTTGTATGTTGATGATGAAACAAAAAATAAAATCCTAACCAACACTAAGCAATGGACAGCCAGAAATGAACATAATCAAGAAATAATCTATACAGAAAGTGATGCTGTAAATACTTTAATTTATACTATCACCTTACACTTTGTAGGTAGTACAACTTTATTAGTAGCAAGATCAGAAGATTTGCTGTCAAACCTAAGATGTCCTACATTATCCCATTATAAGTGGTATAAAGATGTATTCATTTAAATATTATGGATAAGAGAAGACTGCCAACTTGATCATTGGAAGGAAAAGTTTATTGCTGGTCTTCCTTACTTATTTGCCGAAAAAGTGAAAGAAAGACTTAGAAAGAAACATAATGGAGTTATAATTTATTCTGCATATACACTAGGCGAATTATCAGCAGAAATATGTGCTGAAGGATTAGCATTATGCACAGATCTAAAACTCAAACGCCAACTCGACAAACAACAAATTACTAAACGGAAGGAGCTTGGTGATTTTTGTGAGCAATTCGGTTATCATCTAGATAGAAAAAATAAACTAGAAAAATTATATAAGAAAAAGAAAAAATATCATAAAGAAAAATTCAAGACAGATAAATCTCACAAAAAATATAAAAAGTCTAAAAAACAAAAGTTTATAAAGAAATTCACTCCTCATACTAAAAATAAAAAGAAAGTACCTGTATGCTACAAGTGTGGAAAACTTGGACATTATAAACACCAATGTAAATTAAAAAAGAAAATAGATGCTTTACAATTAGATGAGATATTAAAAACTAAAATATATACCATTATCGATTATGATAGTACATCCTGTTCGAGTACAAATTCCAATGAATCTTTGATAGGAAATATACAAGAAGATGATTTTGAATGGACAGATTCTTCAGATTCCTCTTCAGATTCCTCTGAACGATCTTCTTATCTTATGCAAGAATCAAATTGTGCTTGTCCCATCCAAACGCATAGTCTTCATACCTTAACATAAGAAGATAATTTGATTTTAGATCTTATGGAAAAAATTACAGATCCAAAGGAAAAAAGATCTGTTATTACGAAATTTATTAATCTAACAAAAACCAAATAAAAAACACCTCCTATAGTTAAAACACCAGATGAATATAATTTTGCAGCTATTATGAAAAAAGTTAGTGAACAACATCTCACTAACAAAAAAGAACCTTCTATTTCTGAGTTAAAACAAGAAATAAATGAAGTAAAGAAAGAAGTACACCATTTAAAAAATAGAATAAAAATCTAGGAATTACAAAATTTATCCAATCATAATTCCGATACAGATGAAGTAGAATTCAACCATCTAGTTACA